AGCTTATAAAAATACTTTCAAAATCTTAAAATCCCGGAAACCTCCAGACCGCCTTTTCTGTTGCACCACTATTTGGGAGAGACAAAATACTCAGAAAATACTTACAGCTACACACCTGTATATAAAGGGATATAATCGAGTGATCGATACACCAACACAGAAGGTGTGTCTGCATTATTGGAAATCAGTACATCGTAAGTTAATTCAAGAAAAGGCCTAGAGGAAGAGGGTAATTTTCATGTGTAAGTAAAAGTTTTTTCTCAAAGATATATATACATACTAGTAGAACGTGTCAAAATTCGATAAAATATATATACAGTGTTGGTATTTCAAGGCACGATCTAAAACTAAGGAGTACTGAATTCATATTGGAAAAATTATTTCCAGAACTTCCTGGTAAACAATATTTTCAATATTTGCACATTCAGAGACCTAGATTTTTTAACATATCAAATGACCGTACCCTGGATAGCACTACGTAGAGGTGGGTTGACCGTAAGAAAAAGATTGGCTCAGCTAAGTAGAACCCAGATGGACAGACATACGGTTTCCCAAAATTATGTTATTGGTGTAAAATGTACATCAAAAATTTACGTGGTCAGTCCGAGCGATAATAATAGGTAAATACGAAAGACAGGATTTTCAATTTTCCTGTTTCATTCAGGTTTGAAAATGGAAAATAACATAGCGCTTTTGCAGGGTTATTCAACCGTTTCTCATTTTATTTAGTCTGCAAAGTACCGAACAGTAAAACTCAAAATCATATTTATATAAATGTAGAAACATGATAAATTTTTATTTCTAATATCTTGCGAACAAGAGAGGAGAGCATTAGAGGTGCCAGTAGCCAGCAAGAGAAGACGTGGAAGAGAAAGGAATTGCAGAAAACCTGGTAATGAACAGAGATGATTGGAGGAAGGCAACACGTATCAATGAACTTAATAAATTGATTGGATGGGAACTGCAGAAGACCTGTTACTGAACAGAGATGACTGGAGGAAGGCAACACGTATCAAGGAACTTAATAAATTGATTGGACGGGAACTGCAGAAGACCTGGTAATGAACAGAGATGATTGGAGGAAGGCAACACGTATCAAGGAACTTAATAAATTGATTGGACGGGAACTGCAGAAGACCTGGTAATGAACAGAGATGATTGGAGGAGGGCAACACGTGTCAAGGAACTTCAAAAGAACTTAATAAATTGATTGGACAGAAGTCTAAATGTATATAAAACATAAATTCCTCCGTCAGATCTAGTCATCTTTCATTACCTTTTGCTCTCTCACTTGTTCAAAGCAAGCAAGAATTTATGAAGGATATATGACTTTCGTATGAACTTCACAGATCGTGAGAGATTACAGGACGATCTTTAATTTGTTGTCGATAACGCTCATGATACTTTTCAAAACTCTTAATTTTGAAGATGTCTAGATATTCTGTGATTAGTACACACGTAATAGTTGCAAGTCAATGTCCACATAATTATAAAACTTTATTCGGATACAAATACCAGTGTAATGGTTGCAAGTCAATGTCCACATAATTATAAAACTTTATTTGGATACAAATACCAGTGTAATGGTTGCACGTCAATGTCCACATAATTATAAAACTTTATTCGGATACAAATACCAGTGTAATGGTTGCAAGTCAATGTCCACATAATTATAAAACTTTATTCGGATCCAAATACAAGTGTAATGGTTGCAGGTCAATGTCCACATAAGAACAGTTTATGTTTCAACAAACAAACCTATTCTATTCAACCCTCGTGACAAATTTATACTTAAAGTGGTTCACAAAGTATTTAGTACTAAAATAAACCAAGAGCAAGAAGAGCCGGGCGTGGCCTAGCTTTTGCGTGCAGGACTGTGTATCTTAGGGGGTTCATGGTTCGCGTCCCGCTCTTCAAACAGTCATTCTCCGAACTTTGGAGACGTAGTTGCATTATAAGAGTGGCAGCCAAATCCCACTATTCACTTCAAATAGCTCAAACGTTGGCAAGGGACGCTGTGAACAATCTGCCTTCCCTCTAATCTATCAGTTCAAAATTAGGGACGACTAGCACAGATAACCCTTGTGTAGCTTTGTGCGAATATCCGAAACAAACAGGTAAACTTTGAAGGTGCATACACAAGTAAAGACTCGGAACTTTTTAATTTAAAATAAAAGAAAAACGTTTAAAAATATTTAACTTTCCTTGAGTTCGATAAACAACAACAGATACGTGAGAAATTACTTGACTGCCTTAAAAGAAACTGGTTAGGTTTATAGGAGCCGTTTCTGTGATCATAATGGTAGCTTAGTTATAAGTGTTCACCTATTTGATGTTTTATTGTTTGGCCTAGAGAATTCACTGATTAGCTGCAACAGAGTTTCGAATTGATGTCAGTTTGTTTTTACGAACAAAACACTCGGTTTTCGATGCTTGTCTGATATTTCCAGGGGGGAGGGGGGGGGTGAGTTTCGGAATACAATTTCGATGTTGTAGTTGACTTCTTTGATTATCAATTTGCAAAACAATCCGAAAATTATATATAATGTTCTAGCCTTTAAATTAAAAGTAAAAAATAAATCCGGCAGAAAGTAAAGTACTGTTTGATTGATTCCATACGAACATTAAAAAGACTTGTAGCTTAACACCTAAACATAATGCTTTAAATGACGATAGTGGGTGTTGTAAGCACTAGCTAAACTTTAGGTATTTATTTCCTTTTTTCCATTTCCGTTGCAATTCATTCATGCTACTCCAATTACAAATATATATATATATATATATGTTCTGTTTTTTGAATAAACGTTTTTAAAGTGAGTGAAATTGGTTTAAAACGATATACCTCAAGCTCGTACGCAGAATGTTTGAAAGAAGGGTTCTAATTTGTCAGATCAAAAACCCACACGTGTATTGAAGCACAATCAACAAAAAATGCTAACACTTCACCAGAAGAATGTAGATTATGTAGAAAACGGTAAATACCATAAGCAGCTGTGCTGTAACTAGATAAAAAAAATTTTTACATCACAAAAATAGGAGGTTCAGCCGAACCCACCCACACCCTGCGTGCACCTAATACTAAAGATAAAAATCACACTAGACGACAGATATTGTTTAAACGTTCCTTTTACTTCGCCCATGGTGGATTTCAAATCAAAAGTGTGTAAAAAGGGCACTGAATATTATACCTTTTCTGAATGGTTTACACACCAATCGCTCCTTTACCCAGTTATAACAATCCAATGGTGTGTCCAGGATTACTCTAAATAGTCAAATAAACATTTGTACTTCATTTTTATTTATGGAGAAAAAATGGAATTTTTATATACTGTATACTATTGTTAAATATAACAATGGATACAGTATCGTACTGTGATTGTGGTCGAGGATAACTTAGAATTCTTACTAAATCTACCAGGAACACAGCATTTTATGACAATTCAAAAACTGTTTCGAAGACACAAAATCCCAGAAATTATTGCGATACAAGCTACAGTGTTTTTACGGTTATGTTTATTCATTACCAAGGCTACAGTATAATTAACCCGTATGCATGAACAACCTCATGCTGCTTCAATAGAGGGCGTTACGTTTGTCCCTCTTCAGTGTTCTTTTTGTCTCGTATTACTATGTTTAAGTTGCCTGTCTCTACCCTCTTTATATATATATATATTAGCATCTTTACAACAGTCCTAATAGTTTTAATGATGTTTCACTGGTAATCAAAAATAAAATTTAAACCTCGAATTATAATAAAAACGATAGCGCTACTGTGTTCTTAAACAAAAAATAAACACCAGCTTTATTTATCACTGCTAAGTATCGTCATATTTTCATGGGAGTACTAGCGAAAATATTATGATTTCAGCTGGAAATATCATAATTTGAGTTTTACATTCCCCCGACTTTATGTCGAAAAGTACATCTCACGTAAGTGTTACATTATCTACCAATCCAATCAAAATTGTTAGCCAAAGCGACAGGTCCAACCTCGTGCAAGTTTGACTGCCATATGGTACAGTAAGAAGAAAGAGTGATACGGCAACAAAACTAATTTCGAGGTGAGCGAGTTTTGCAGGATATTGTATTTAACTGGAGTTCACACACGTTTCACCCCGAGTTACCAAGATTTATCACTTAAAATAAATAGTATCACATATCTACTTAATACTTTAAAATAATCCTTCATCTATAGATGTAAGCTGAGAAACAAATATAACTATATTTGTTATCAAAAATTGTGGTTCTACGTAGTTCACACCAAGCATTATGATTTCAAATAAATATGTTGTCGTAGCTATATTTTTAACTTTTAGTTTCTACATATAGTGTCATAAGTCATCTAGCAAATAAATATCTAAACTATAATACTACAAATACAGTTTATTACAATATATATAAAAAAACAACCGAGTATCTTGCTTCACGCCTTACCTAAGACATTTTTCTACCTGTAACTGTTTCATAAATTGGAAGTATGTTGTAAGGTCTGTAACCGAATATTGGCCTATAACGTTTACTTCGCTTATACGTGAAGAACCCTTTTAAATATTTAAGGTTGCAAATCGAGATGAACGATCAAATCTAAGAAACAACTTTTCCCGTGTTTTCAAAAATGGCCTGCATGCAAATTCTAATTCGTTTAAAAAAATACTTCGCAAAACTTCTGTTACGTGAATTATTTATGGTTTAATTTCTAGAAATGACATTTAAAATGCGTCTTGGAATGAAATCAATAAAACTGATATGCATATTGTTTGTTAGCTTCAAGAAGTGAGCCTCTCGTGTGTCCATTTGTTAATACTGTTAAGGTATGCTATGCGTGATGCTTAAACGTATCCTGAATTTGAAATTACCGTTTCACCCAAAATATATATCATTATGATACGAACAGTCAGTGAATGTGACACGTTTAAAGAGTCATTATGCCAGTTACAATATTAGAAATTAATTCATGTTTGAGAACAAATATTATGGTGAAAGCTAGTTTGATAACTTACCGATTTTACCTTCCGTTCGAACATCTTTCACTTCGAGATAGAACATAAACAGAGGAAGCAACAACCACATTTGCGTCATGTTGACCGGCGAAAACTTTATGAGACGCTCACACATTCATGTTGTCAGAAAGAATTTTGATAGAAAACTGAATGAAAGGCAATACCCCAACTGTCAGCTGTCAAACGTGATAGAATCTTAGGCTTAGCTGCTTGCCTGTAGAAAGTGCCCCTACACTAGATTTCCCCGCAAGGCTGCCGCCGTAGCAGGTGCTTTTGTGTTAGCCTTGAACCACTATGGCGGATTGACAGCTGAGGGAGTACCCGTATGGTAACGTCACAACGGAAGCGGTGACGTCATTAAACGTGCAGCAGAGATGAGAGTGGGCGATATGCTGATCGCAAAGATTTTGCGGTTTTTGTTGACATGTAAAATTCCCTCCCAGTATTTTTCAGTATCAAATAATATTGTATTAAACCATAATGCACCGAATTCTGATATACAAAATAATATCTACAAGAAGTTAATTTATCCGAATTTGGTCACCTTGTTTATTTTGTAATCAAAGTTTCATGCTCAAGACGAAAAACGACTAATGAAATGACAAGTTTTACTCCACAATGACAAAAAAAAAGTTTATTAAGATTAGATATATTAGTGGTCATGGCTGTGGGAGTAATATGATAACATTGTTCTACTCCTTCAAAACTAATGATAATATTGTACTACTTCTTCAAACTAATGATAAAGTTGTACTGCCCCTTCAAAACTAATGATAACGTTGTACTACCCCTTCAAAACTATTGATAACGTTGTACTACCCCTTCAAAACTATTGATAACGTTGTACTACCCCTTCAAAACTATTGATAATATTGTACTACTCCTTCAAAACTATTGATAACATTGTACTACTCCTTCAAAACTAATGATAACATTGTACTACTCCTTCAAAACTATTGATACCATTATACTACTTCTTCAAAACTATTGATAACATTGTACTACTCCTTCAAAACTATTGATAACATTGTACTACTTCTTCAAACTAATGATAACGTTGTACTACTCCTTCAAAACTAATGCTATTAAATATTCTCAACATACTGACAACATTTTGCTTTTCCAAATCTTACAGTAAGGGCTTGCGAAAGGTTAATTTCAGATCTGATTAAACTGAGACAGTCAATCCGCTACAGTAGAATGCGGGAGGGCCAGGGAGACCAAACTCCCCTACTTTTCAATCTATCTCAATAAAAATGCATCAAAATCAGAAACATTACTCTCAGGAAAAGCAGAAGAATGCGATGAAGTTAATTGTTTGTTTGTTTGGAATTAAGCACAAAGCTACACAATAATCTGTGCTCTGCCCACCACGGGTATCGAAACCCGGCTTCTAGCGTTGTAAGTCCGCAGACATACCGCTGTACCACTGGGGGGGCCATGAAGTTATTTGTTTGTTTGTTTGGAATTAAGCACAAAGCTACACAATGATCTGTGCTCTGCCCACCACGGGTATCGAAACCCGGTTTCTAGTGTTGTAAGTACGCAGACATACCGCTGTACCACTGGGGGCCATGAAGTTAATCCAGAACCAAAGAGTTTCCAGGGCTTTTGATCCCTCCTGTAATGGGTACGCCTGTGGTGCATATTCCTTCGCTTCGCTCGGTCAAATGCACCTTGGGCACCTCCTCTCACAATTTTAGTTTGCCTCCTACACCTCTGATATGTACATGTTTTTAAAGTTGTTTAATCCACTTTAATCCCCCCCAAAAAAATGCAGATCAAGGCGGTTTCCAGTTACGAAAACAGGTTCTATTGTACCAAAAAAATTAAATATCTACTCTATAGATTGATTTTTTTAAATAATTTTTAAATCCAAGATTATTTTTAGTTGTAAAAATATGACATTCCAAAGGATTTATCCCTGAAGTACGCGAGAGAAATCGATTTTCAATTGCAACATGGCTCTACAGTTGAAGTCCCCACGTGGGTCAACGATAAGTTTATGAACTTACAACGCTAAAATCCAAGGTTCGATTTCCCGCGATCGATAGATCGTGGACAGTCCGATGTGTAGCTATGCGCTAAAATAAAAAAAATACACAGATATTCAATACCTACTCCATAAAATCTAGAGCTGCTGTACCGTACAGCAGTTTAAATATTTAAGGTTGCAAATCGAGATGAACGATCAAATCTAAGAAACAACTTTTCCCGTGTTTTCAAAAATGGCCTGCATGCAAATTCTAATTCGTTT